ACATAATCTCAAACCAACACGCAATCACACTATACACTCAAGTCCCTAACATACATGAGGATCGCTTTAAAAACACCTTAATTATGATCACATTGACCACGTGATCATAGAAACAGCGAGTGACGAATGTTAACGCAACCCCATTAAATACCCGAAGACTCGTCTTTAAGGGTCAAATGACCACTAGGCGTAGGCGACTTTGTGAAATAAAAGAGCTAAAATTGAACAACGAAAAATGCGCCATTTCCAAGACACGTCATTTGACCCACCACAAAAAAAAAATAAAAAAAAATGACATAAAAATAATGATGCACGTGTCACATGACCGGAAGTAGTTTTCTTCAGGAAATGGCCACGACCGCGCGAACTCTGTAACCGGAAGGCCTCTCATTTACTCTTACTACTAAAAAAAAACAACTGAAATTGGAGAAGGCATCGGAATAAAATAAAATAAATAAAAACACAGAAATCGATTAAAAAAAATGAGTGTACAAAAAATGATTTCAATGAAATCAATTTTCCTCACGTGAACTTGAGATGAATAATATGATTTTTTTTTCGTTTGATCCTCCTATCCAATTGGCACTTTTCTTAAAATTCAAATACTCTTAATGAATCGGGGCTGGGGAGGGGGGGGGGGGGGAGTAGACGATGGCGTTCCTAACAAACGAAACTGTCCATCGGGGCCTTGAAGATGTGGGGACTGAAGGAGCTGATGACACGGGGACTCAGGGATCACAGCAGGCGGGGACCCAGAGATCTAAGGACGCGGGGACCCAGGGATCTGAGGACGCGGGGACCCAGGGATCTGAGGACGCGGGNGACGCGGGGAGGCAGGGATCTGAGGAGGCGGGGACCCAGGGATCTGACGACGCGGGGACCCAGAGATCTGAGGACGCGGGGACCAGGGATATGAGGACGCTGGGACTCTGGGATCTAAGGACACGAGGACCCAGAGATGTGAGGACGTGGGGACTCAGGGATCTGAAGACGCGGGGATCCAGGGATCTGATGACGCGGGGAGCCAGGGATCTGATGACGCGGGGGAGCCAGGGATCTGAGGAGGTGAATAAGAAAGTTAGTAGGACAGAATCAAAGTTATTCGTTTGAGAACATCGACCTCTTCAGATATGTGGATTGAATGGCCGCCAGAGATAGATATTTAACTTGGTCAGTTCGGCTGAAGTAAGCGTATTGGGCGCACGTGTCTACCAGTGGGAAAATGTGTCTACCAGTGGGAAAATGTGTCTACCAGTGGGCAAATGTGTCTACCAGTGGGCAAATGTGTCTACCAGTGGGCAAATGTGTCTACCAGTGGGCAAAGGTGTCTACCAGGGGCAAATGTATACTATTCTATACTATAAAAATGTTCTTTTATTTATTAATACCCCCCCCCCCCGTTTACAGTTTCCAGGTTAAATAAGTTTGATAGTATGGTGGGCCTTTGGGGCTTGTGGGCCGACGATAAACGGGTTAATAATTAAGTCTGACAAAGGGGAGAGATCGCAGGATATTGGCAGGGAAAAAAGACACTGTCAGAATTCAATAAGTCCGGCAAAAAAAATTCAATATTCTTGGGAGGAAGGGCAGCGTAGGCAGGGGAGTCACTGTACGATTGGGACTCCTTTGGGTATTATTATGGGTGGGGGGGGCGATAAACAGAAATATTATGGACATTGAAAGGTTTTCATTTTTATTTTAAAGTGTCGCTAGAGGCTTGCTTGGGAGGGACAGTATCATGGACTTGACACTAGTAATGTGTACACACAGACGCACAAAGACACAAACAGATATACACACACAGATATTCACAGACACACACAGGCATAGTTTCATACACAACAACAAGATTTTCTCATCAACTATACAAATATCTTGCTATATAAAAAAAAGGTAATTTGATTATCGAATCCTTTCACCTATCTCTACAAGCTTGAGGCCTTACCGTCTAAGAGATACAGTGCTAAAGCTTGAGCCCCTACCGTCTCAGGGCTACAGTGCTGAAGCTTGAGCCCCTGCCGTCTCAGTGCTACAGTGCTGAAGCTTCAGCCCCAACCATTTCAGAGCTACAGTGCTGAAGCTTGAGCCCCTACCGTCTCAGGGCTACAGTGCAGAAGCTTGAGCCCCTACCGTCTCAGGGCTACAGTGCTGAAGCTTGAGCCCCTACCGTCTCAGGGCTACAGTGCTAAAGCTTGAGCCCCAACCATCTCAGCGCTACAGTGCTGAAGCTTGAGCCCCTACCGTCTCAGGGCTACAGTGCTGAAGCTTGAGCCCCTACCGTCTCAGGGCTACAGTGCTAAAGCTTGAGCCCCAACCATCTCAGCGCTACAGTGCTGAAGTGGGCTACAGTGCTAAAGCTTGAGCCCCAACCGTCTCAGCGCTACAGTGCTGAAGCTTGAGCCCCTACCGTCTCAGGGCTACAGTGCAGAGGCTTGAACCCAACCGTCTCAGTGCTACAGTGCTGAAGCTTGAGCCACTACCGTCCCAGTGCTACAGTGCAGAAGCTTGAGCCCCTACCGTCTCAGAGCTACTGTGCTGAAGTTTGAGCCCCTACCGTCTCAGGGCTACAGTGCAGAAGCTTGAGCCCCTACCGTCTCAGGGCTACAGTGCAGAAGCTTGAGCCCCTACCGTCTCAGGGCTACAGTGCAGAAGCTTGAGCCCCTACCGTCTCAGTGCTACAATGCTATATTTACATGGATGCATGGGTGCATTTCTACATTCAAACTTTTTATTAACGTAGATGTAAGGGGCCATTTCTACAGTCAAAGTGTATATTTACATGGATGCATGGGTCCATTTCTATATTCAGACTTCACATTAACGTGGATGCATGGGTCCATTTCTACATCCAGACTGTATATTTACATGGATCCATTTCTGCCTTCAGACTGTATATTAACATGGATACATTGATCCACTTCTAAATTCAGACTGGTACTCATCTCGCTCCTGGCCGTGACACTCCCCCCCCTTCCCCCACCCATCCCCCACATACAATATATAAAAGTGATAAGTCTATTTGTTAATTCGCTTATAGCCTGGAACATCCTTTTATCTATTCAACGCCACGCCTTTTTGTGTTGTACACACCCTCAGCGCTAAACTCAATTCGCTGATGTCCTCCACGCAACTAGCCATGTTAGGCCGCAAGGGAGGTGAGCGTGCATCGGCGTTCTATTTGTTTATACTTTTTTTTACTGAACGAATCTACCGGTGCCATTATGCACTCTATACCGCGGTAACAGCTGCCGCCCTCCTCAAGTAATGTTACCGTTATCTCTCAGTAACACAATTTCACCTTTCTACTCCTAATTTTATTGTTATAACCATTCTCTAATAACCCCTTCCCCCCCCCCCCCGCCCATTCCGCACGCAATCCACGTCTTAGTGAGCTCACTTCGGGAATCTGTCATCTCAAGCCTATTGTTTGCAACTAACCCATTTGCCCATACACCTATTATGCAACACATGTAGCAGAACAACTAACACCACAACTCTTTAAAAAGCTCCTCGTAGTCTTCATTGTAGCTATTCTAATTTTCGTCTAATAAAGTTTTCAGCATAAAGAGTATCTCAGCGTAGAGGTCAGAGTTCGAAATAATCATTCTCTGATCTTGTACACATTCTTAAACTTTTAGCACACCGTCGCTCGTCAGTTTCATAATTTTTTCTACTAAAAACCCCATCCCCCCCCCCCCCCCGGCCCACACCATTACCCAGAACACGCCCCTGCCATTGCAAGACCAAGTCATTGCCGACAAGTCTCGGCACTCTAACTAGACCCAGTCAACGCGGCGGCAGCCCCGCACTTCTCTCGCACGTGCCGTCCCAGGAGAAATTACTTATTATCCCATTGATTCCTTTGGAATGCTCTCCCCTGCCGATGCGACAGGTGGCTCTCTAAGTGGTGACAAACACACAGTAGTCTCCCCTGGATCACTTATCCGGGGGCATAAATAGACCACCCCCAGCCTCGTGTGGGCCAAAGTGTATTTCAAGAATTCTCGGAGTCAGACGTGGACAAAAGGGGTGACCAGTACACCAGTGGCCCAACAGAATTCGACAGTGGTGCAAAAAGGAGTCGACAGTGGCCCAACAGAATTCGACAGTGGTGCAAAAAGGAGTCGACAGTGGCACAACAGGATTCCACAGTGGTACAACGCGATACAATTGTGGGGCAACACGTTCGAAAGTGATTAGTTTGGTTTTGGTTTTTTTTGTCTGCAGGAAAGTGTGTTATTCGATAGTATCACTATGGATCTTAAAGTGTATAAATATTCACCGACCCTGTGTGAAGTTCAGTGGATTCCTTAGAAGATGGTTTTATTTGTATGCGATCAAAACCGGAACTGTGTGATATGAAAAGAATAAAAGAAAAATCACAAATTTGAGCAACATTAGATATTTAAATCTTTGATCCCCCCCCCTGCCCTATTTCTTTCGAAGTCAGAAATCAGATCGTTAAAAAATCCATCAGACGGAGGTTGAGTCAAGCGCATGTGCTCCTTACAATATCACTATGCAAATGTATAAAAAAATTTTTTATAAATCCCATTAGGGTGCCATTCATTCATACAAGGATGTAAGGAAGCCTATTTCTACTTTATTCAAATAACTCGGGTTTTACATGTCTCTCGTTATAACTTCAGCCCAATCCGTGCGCAAGACATATTTTAAATCTATTGTCTGTCGACCATTTTGAGTCTCGTCTGTCTTTTAAGATGGAAAACTTCGAATTAAAACAAGGCAGCAGCAACCGGAAAGGAGTTTATCCCCCTCGCATAAGAACATTCGTTTTTAATTTGAAAAAAAAACAAACATGGATCGGTAAACATAATCAACGGGCGTAAGAGTTTTTTTTTTTTTTTTTTTTTTGGTCAAGTTATCTAATGCGTATGTGTTTGAGTAACTTTCGACAACGAATCAATTAATGGTGGCTGTATTCTTACGCCAGTGATACCAGCACTACTTTCCTGGCCGTGAATGTTTACCATTGGGTTCACTGCAGCGGATTCTTTCTTTTTCCTGACACGCCATCCCAGAATTTCGCCATCGACGTGCCATTCTGCACGATGCTTCTGTCCAAACGACACGTGACCTACGTGGCCTTGACCTTTCCTGCCTTAGTTTACCTCTTCCTCATGTTTTCCGCCATCGGCCAGGTCTGCTTCAAGCCGGGCGCAGACCTCCCTGAGCTTAAGGCGGACTATCTGCCCTTGATCAGAGCCGGTCGCACGGGAGGGGAGAGAAATGGCGCATTTCTGCCGGACTCGGTGGATTTCAGAAGACTTCTTCACGCGGGGGATGCGAAACTCATATCTCACGCGCCGGCCTCTCGACTTCCGGCGACGCAGAGAAAAAATGAAAATTCTAAATATAGAGACAACGGAGGCGCCAGACCAGCATTAATGTTTAATTGCACGTCAATATCGCGGATGAAGATTCGCAACAAGATCGGCCACGGGGTATCGAAGCAAGCTTTCGTGGCCGATTACGCGGGCGTGCAGGTCGCCATCAAAATGGTCACGCGGCACATCCACGAGCTCCGCACGTGTCTAGAAAACCTCAGACGCATCAAAATCGCCCAAGCTGCTTTCTCGAACGGCGGGAGATCTGACCACGGGCAGAAGTCGTCGCGTCGCGTCAGAAGAGATGGCAACGGTTTTCTGCCGCTGGAGATTTTGAAATCGTCCTTGGACCCAGACGGCGGCGCCAGCACGATTCTTCCATTGATCGGAAGCAACCGTACTTTAGGACACGCTCCCCCCGGCAGGCAGTCTGTCGGTTCCACGGCAGACGTCACGGCGGAGGAGCGCCAGCGGTGTTACACGTTCCCCACAGCCCGCCTCATGAAGGAGATCCTCCTCTCCGAGCAGCTGCGTCACCACAATCTCGTCTCGCTGCTAGGATACTGCGTCAGGAGCGAGGAGTCCGACTCCACGGACATCTCGGAGCACGGCGTCATCAGCGTCTATGAACTCGGGGCGCGGTTTGTGCTGGACAATTTACAGGTAGGCCGTGTGGATGATCTTGACTTGACCCACTACTGCCATTGTTTACAGTACCAAAAAAACGCCCGCCAGGGTGAACTTAAGAATAAACGAAACACAGTTAAGGGCCCTTGACACCACTTGGGATGAATGTCATGTTCTCCTTCACTTGCTAAATCTTTTTTCTCCATCCCCCTCCTTGTTACAACTAAATCGAATAGGACTGCTCTTGCTGTCCTCTCGAATACGACATATCAGCTAAATATTCATATTGTTAAAAACAATATTTCTGTTACTCTTTGTTTGTACTCTTCGCCAAAGAAGGCGTCTTGCCGATACGTTCTATTTTTTCCAGTTTAATCCCTACCTTTTTTCACATATTTACTGTTTAATTGTAATGACAGGATGTAACTATTGGGGGGAATTTTAACTTTCAAAAGGATAGCTAATTAATTTCCCAAAAGCGAATCAAAAGGAAAAAACAACTCATGATTGTGTTAAAAATAGATTTACTGTATGACACTAAATTGGAAATTTAGATTACGTTCTTCCATTCATTGGAAATCAAATGATTTCATAAGCACGTGTCAATGTTTTAAACCGTTTACAACGAAAAACAAAAAGTAATAACTTATTAAAGGCAGAGACAAAATTCAAAATTATAAACCTTAAGTATTCGTTTAAATTGGATATTAGTTCCCTCTGTAAAAAAAAAAAAAAAGAAAGAAATTAACTTAGAATAGTAAACCGTATTTCTTGATGTGAAAATCTAATTGAAAACTAAACGTTCTTCCTTCACGATCACCAGTAGGCCTGTATAGAGGCAGAGGCTCGACACGATTGTCTTTGTTCTTACAAAAAAAAAACAAAAAAAACAACAACAAAAACAAATGAGCAAACCAGGAAATCACTTGAATTTGTACACTTGTCCATTAAGTTCATGAGCGTACCTAAGCCTTGTGATAAGTCACTCGGATATTGTAACGATCATATGGAGTGATGATGTTACTTGTGATATTTACTCACATTTACAGACGTCCATGATTATCTAAACAAGTACGAGAGAACTCCTTGAATTTGCATCACAACATTTATTTACTAAATGACGTACACAGGATGAAATAATATCTCTGTAAACCAGAGCAAAAATGAATTGTCAACAACTTCTTCCACTTCACATTTGTTGAATTAACACTAAGATTCTGTTTGCTATTTAAGTAATCGCAGCAAATGATTATACAATGAAAACACTCAACTTTTACTCATCCTGCCATTCCTCTGTGTGTCCCATAACTCTCCTCTTCACTTCTTGTTTCTTCTACTTAACAAAACAAGACATTCTTCCGAAACAAAATTAATATCTAAATATTTGATCTGTGACAGAGATCGTTACCTAGTTTATTGCCATCACCTGAACGATTGGCCTGCCAGTTGGTTGTATTTTTCAAAAGATAAAGTTTTTTTTTTGTTTTCTTTTCTTGTTGTGTGTGTGTGGCCGGGACAATATGTTATAAACATGTTTTCAAAATTACTGTACAGCTTTTCCAATGCTTTTTTTTTCCAGGAAAAGGCACATTTCCCTACAAAGAAAACTTGACATAAATAAATATAGTTTGACATCAAAGGAAATCGCCACTTGAATTCTGGGATCAGCCTATGTTGAGACAAAAGAAAATAAACTTTTGTGTGCATCTTCTGTCAAACACTTAATCTCACAAGAGAATTAATTAAAAACGACTTTGTCGTTATATTTTAAAACTTTTAGAACTTATCCAACGTCACGAAAGGGAGTTTAATAAAAACAAACAAAAAAACAAATTTAAAGCAATAGCATAGTTGATAAGTTGATACATTAATTAAATAAATAAATATATATATAAAGAAATAGAATAGTTGATAAGTTGATACATTAATTAAATAAATAAATATATATATATATATAATATATATATATATATATATATATATATATATATATATATATATATTAATTGCTTCTCATCAGATTCTTCCGTGGCAAGCACGACTCCAACATGCCATAGAAATGGCCGACCTGCTCGACTATCTCGAGCATTCGCCTCTAGGGTCTCTGATAGTGCCGGACTTCAAGGAGGGCCACCTGGTGATGGTCAACGGGAGCCTCAAGCTCATCGACCTCGACGACGTGAACAGCCTTGAACCCGAGTGTGACCCCCAAGACAGCCGGCAGGGTCAGTGCCCGTACAGTCTGAGGTAAGAATCGCCGGGAAAGTAATCACAAGAGAAATAAGCCGAATTTAATTTTTGTTAAAACATAATCTCCTCGCACCTGCACGTAGTTAGTTCAGAGGGTCGTTTCGTTCAACCCATAGTTTATTTATGCGCCGAAGGCCCTTTAAAATTTACAAATAATCACTTAACTAAATATATATTTATTTGGAGTGTTCCAACTGTAAATCTTCAATTTTAATACTGATATAATAACGCCATAGACATAGAGCTCTGCACAAACATGAACCAGTGAATGTCGTGATTTTTAGAACTGTGACCGTGTTAAAAGAGTGAGGTTTAAATGAGGCATGCCTTCTAACTTTCAGTTCTATCTAGATTTTTACCATCGGGTATTTCCACTCTGAGGATTAAGACTATTTATCGTCGGGTATTTCAACTCTGGGGATTAAGACTTTCACCATCGGTTATCTCCACTCCGATGATTAAGACTTTTATCGTCGGGTATTTCAACTCTGAAGATTAAGACTTTCACCATCTGGTATTTCCACTCTGAGGATTAAGACTTTCACCATCGGGTACCTCCACTCCGATGATTAAGACTTTTATCGTCGGGTATTTCCACTCTGAAGATTAAGACTTTCACCATCGGGTATTTCCACTCTGAGGATTAAGATTTTCCCCATTGGGTATTTCCACTCTGAGGATTAAGACTTTCCCCATCGGAATTTCCTCTGGGGATTAAGACTTTCCCCGTCGGGTATTTTAACTCTGAGGATTAAGACTTTCACCATCGGGTATTTTAACGCTGAGAATTAAGACTTTCACCATCGGGTATTTCCACTCTCAGGATTAAGACTTTCACCATCGGGTATTTCCACTCTGGGGATTAAGACTTTCACCATCGGGTATTTCCACTCTCAGGATTAAGACTTTCACCATCGGGTATTTCCACTCTGGGGATTAAGACTTTCACCATCGGGTATTTCAACTCTCAGGGTTAAGACTCTCACCATCTGGTATTTTAACTCTGAGGATTAAGACTTTCACCATCGGGTATTTCCACTCTCAGGATTAAGACTCTCACCATCGGGTATTTCCACTCTCAGGATTAAGACTTTCACCATCTGGTATTTCCACTCTCAGGATTAAGACTTTCACTATCGTGTATTTCCACTCTGGGGATTAAGACTTTCACCATCGGGTATTTCCACTCTGATGATTAAGACTTTCACCGTCGGGTATTTCCACCCTGAGGCTTAAGACTTTCACCATCGGGCTTTTCCACGCTAGGTATTAAGATTTTTACCATTGGATAGACCCATTGACCTTTTCTCCGTCGGGTATTTCCACGCTTTTTACCATCGGGGATATCCAACCTACAGATTAAGACTTTTTCCATCGGGTATTTCCACTCAGATTATTAAGACTTTTACTATCGGGTATTTCCAATCAGATTATTAAGACTTTTACTATCGGGTATTTCCAATCTAAAGATTAAGAGTTTTATAACGGGGTATTTCCAAAATAACGCTTAATAATTTTTACCATCGTGTCTTTCCATGCTGAAGATTAAGACTTAGTTACGTAATTGTCAAGAGATAGGTTAGATCAAATACTCGCAACACACAGACACACACACATACACAGACAGACATACAAAATACAACACACGTGCACACAGACATAGACAAACAACAAACACGCATATATACCGACAAACACAACGCAGAGAAGAGACACCGCATGCACTCTCTCACGTAAAACGCACGTACACATATAAAGACACAAGCAAGCTCAGCCTACACATTACACACACACAAGACACATTAACATATAAAAACATACACACGCATACATACATACATACATACATACATACATACATACACACACTTTAAAAAAAACAAACTATAGGAATACCGACCTTAATATGTTGGCTATAACTCGTTAATAAATAAACTTCCCTTTGATTGAGATCTCTTAACTATTAAATTTAGAAGCGGATTATTTAAAAGTTTAAGAGCAGATAGCATTGAATTTTGGGAAGAATAACTCCCTGTACGCACTGGTAGCCCCCCCCCGCCCCGAGGACGTATCCATGCATGTAATGCGCTTTCCTGGTGAAGCTGTGAGCTAATGGAGGCCCCCCCCCCTCCCTTTTCCATCTTTTGCGACTTCATGTTGCGATATCATCGGCCATTACACGCCAAGGGGTCGTCGTCCTTGATGGATGGACCAGGCCGTAATTGAAAGCTTACTTTTGTATACAGGAAAACATCGTTACATCAACATGTTATGAGATTCCCTAGCACAGCGGTTCTCGTCCTAATAGGTCCTGGATCACACAGAAAAAAAAACGTAAAACACATTTTTTAAGAAAAAACAACAACATTCCGTCTGGGGGGGGGGGGTGAGAAAACTATTTCTGAATGGTTTCCTCATTTAGCGAATCTTTAGCGCCAATTGTAGGCCAATGTAGCAGGGGAAAAAACATAGTTTTAGACAGTGGTGGTTGTGATTGGGGGGGGGGTGTCCAACCTTAGCCAGCATTTAAGCGCTGTACAATAAAAAAACTATAATCCGACTTCGGTCATTTAAAAAAGTATCTTGATACTATCAGAGTCACCCAGACCCCAGTACCCCCCTTCAAATCCCACCCAGGGCCCGATTCGATCCGAAAAGTATGGCAAACACTGGATATCTCACAAAGTGGAAGAATAAAATCAAGTGAGAAAATAAATATAAATTTTTTAATGTAACACAATGTGTACCTGGAATCGAACCACAAATACTCTTGGAAAAGTTGACAATAAAATTATACAAAGCAGAAGGAATAAAGTACTGTTGCATACGCTCAATACTAATTCTCAGTCTCCGGAAGTAGGTAGATAGGATGACACCAATTTTAAAAGGAGCGTTCATGTCCGTAATGAATGAATGCATTATTTGTGTACTTTCAAATCTTGCAGGTGTGCCCGGGCTCTGTGTGAGGGCTTTAACGCCAAAGAAAATCTGAAGAACATGAACAAGCTGGTGCTGAAGAGACTTCTGTTCCCAATCTCCTTCCCGGAGGCCGTCATACCGAAGATCGGTCAGCTCAACGCTGACCTGGATTCCCTGACCTTGTCCGCACACGAGCTCCTGGTCAACCTGACGGATATTTGGTCATTTTTGGAGGACAAGCCATCCTAATGGAATAGAAATGTGATATGCTGTTTTTTTTTTTTTCAACAACAACAAAAAAAAAAACTGTGTATTTAGTTCTTGGATGATGTTGAACAAAAGAGAGAGAGAGAGAGAGAGAGAGAGAGAGAGAGATCGGCTGTGAGAAGAGGGGTGAGAGAGATTGGGTGAGAGAGAGCGGGTGTGAGAGAGATTACGGTGAGAGAGATTGGGTGAGAGAGATTGCGTGAGAGAGATTGGGTGAGAGAGAGCGGGTGAGAGAGAGAGCGGGTGTGAGAGAGATCGGGTGAGAGAGATTGGGTGAGAGAGATTGGGTGAGAGAGATTGGGTTAGAGAGATCAGGTGAGAGAGATTGGGTGAGAGAGATCGGGTGAGAGAGATCGGGTGAGAGAGATCGGGTGAGAACGACTTAGAAAGCGATCAGATCATATCGATTACTTATCGATGAGGTGTGGAGAAAAAGGTTGAGCTAGTAGGACATAAATGTGAATAGGTGAAAATGTAGAGGGGGGGATAGGGAGGGAAAATTGGAGAAAGAGAGAGAGATGAAAGGAAGAGAGAGAGAGAGAGAGAGAGAGAGAGAGAGATAACTTGAAGAGATGCTATTGGAAAAGAAAACTGTAAAGACATGACTCAATAACAGCGGAAAAAAATAATAAAGAAAAGGAAGGTAAAAGAGTAAGAGGAAGACAGAAATAGTGAGAGGAAGAAAGAAAGAGTGTGAGAAGGAAAGAAAGAGGAAGAAATAAAAAGTGAGAGGAAAAAAGAGGGAGAACGAGAGATAGAGGGAGGAAGAGAGAGAGAGAGTCAGGTAGAAATATCCTCTGAAAATGTTACAATTTTTTTTTACACACAATTAAATAATTATTATTATGATCTTTATTTTCTTCATTAGAGTCAATCATTTGACAATGTAGCATCACTTTATAAATCCATCTTTTGACAATGTAGCATCCCTTTTAAGGCCATCGTTTGATAATGTAGCATTCCTTTTAAGGCCATCGTTTGACAATGTAGAATCCCTTTTAAGGCCATCGTTTGACAATATAGCATCCCTTTTAAATCCATTGTTTGACAATGTAGCATCCCTTTTTAAATCCATTGTTTGACAATGTAGCATCCCTTTTAAATCCATTGTTTGACAATGTAGCATCCTTTTTAAATCCATCGTTTGACAATGTAGCATCCTTTTTAAATCCATTGTTTGACGATGTAACATCACTTAAAATTAAAAATAAAAAATGTTTTGACTTTTCATTTCCTTTCAACTGAGTAGTGCGACTTTGGTAATTTGGACAGTAGATCTCAATCAACTTAAGTGGTAATTTGGACAGTAGATCTCAATCAACTTAAGTGGTAATTTGGACAGTAAATCTCAATCAACTTAAGTGGTAATTTGGACAGTATATCTCAAACAACTTAATGAACAAAGCCTGTTGGGTTATGGCTAGCGATGGTATACTTTTTTAACTGTGTGAAAATTCTGTCATAGCATTCATCTGGGGGGACAGATCTCTCTATCTTCCCTCTCTAAATACCCTCTATATCCCCCCCTTTATCCCCATTCTTCATCTCCCCTCTCTACCACCCCTCTTTATCTCCCCTTTCAATCCCCTTCTCTATCTCCCCTCTTTATCCCCCCTTTCTAGCTCCCATCTCTATCTCCCTTGTTTATCCCCCCTATATATCTCCCTTCTCCACCTCTCCTCTCTATCTCCCCCATTCTCCCCCTCTCCCCCCCCCCTCTTCTATCACCGTCCTCTATCATCTTAATTTTGTGTTGCAGCTTCAAGGAAGTCTTGATTCATACACTTCAACATGACCATCAATCACTGGTGTTCCTTGTTTATCCCCCCTATATGTCTCCCTTCTCCACCACCCCTCTCTATCCCCCCCATTCCCCCCCTCCCCCCCCCCCCTCTTCTATCACCGTCCTCTATCATCTTAATTTTGTGTTGCAGCTTCAAGGAAGTCTTGATTCATACACTTCAACATGACCATCAATCACTGGTGTTCAATTTCTCCCACCCCCCCCTCTCCACCTCCACTCCCACACTTCTCTACTCCCCATTTCTCTTCCCCAAGCCCGAAGATCTCACAACCCCAGACCAGTTTTCCTTGCCTAGATTACAAGTGCCGTAGTGCATTCATTGGCCCACACGGCGGGCCGCAGTGCATTCATTGGCCCACACGGCGGGCCGTAGTGCATTCATTGGCCGACACGGCGGGCCGTAGTGCATTCATTGGCCCACACGGCGGGCCGTAGTGCATTCATTGGCCCACACGGCGGGCCGTAGTGCATTCATTGGCCAACACGGCGGGCCGTAGTGCATTCATTGGCCAACACGGCGGGCCGTAGTGCATTCATTGGCCAACACAGCGGGCCGTAGTGCATTCATTGGCCAACACGGCGGGCCGTAGTGCATTCATTGGCCCANCCCCCCCCCCCCCCAAACCAGATAAGTAAAATTTGGGCCCAAACGTAACTCAGAGCGTCGGCACAGTTATACTGTGTATGAAGCGTTGTAGCATGAGCGCAAAGTGTACACATTAAATTGTACACTGAAGTGTACATGTATATCAAACAGCATTTGGTTGTCAAGTTTTTAATCTGTAGATCATAAATGTGTGCCGATTTGATTTAACTTTCAAAATGGAGCAGGTCCTGGTTTATCAAAGTGATTGGCCATGAGTGAGATGAACTTTTCTATCAAACTTAACTCCTTAATGTCATGCTAATAAAGTATATGAATAAATGCAAGGGCTCTTGTCAAGTCTCTTGTTGTCTCTTGTTGTCTCTTGCTGGCTTTTATGGTCTTTTGATGTCTCTTGTTTTCTTGTGTTGTCTCTTGATGTTTCTTGATGTCTCTTGTTGTTTCTTGCTGTCTCTTGTTGTCTTTTGTTGTCTTTTGATGTCTCTTGTTGTCTCTTGATGTCTCTTGTCGACTCTTGTTGTCTCTTATTGTCTCTTGTTCTCTCTTTTTGTTTCTTGTTATCTTTTTTTTGTCTCTTGTTGTCTCTTGTTGTCTCTTGATGTCTCCTGGCGTCTCTTGTTGTCTCTTGATGTCTTTTGTTATCACATTGTGTGGCGTTTTCTTTAAAATGATAGTGATCCCACTGTCACCGGGACTCATAAGATGATCAACTACTGTAACAAGTTGGAAAGTGTAAAAACAACAAAAAACAAAACAAAACAAAGCTATACATTGAGAAAATAAAATGCTGTAAACACCGTTCAATCAATCATTTCTTGATTTATTTAAAAGAGTAACGGTTGTGTCATTTAATAATAACATAAGTAAACAAGTCAACCCCCATTCATGTCCAAGCTCCCGGTCTTCGAATATTGACATTTGGTCTACGCGGCGCTGAGCAGGACGGTCAAACGCTTGTTGTGTCTATCGCGTTAAAGCCTTTAAATCAACTTCGCTTTTGTTTGCGTGTTTCTTTTATGGCTGGCCCGTTAACTTATCGAGCTGAATGAGACTTGGAACATGGGCACGTTGCCGATGACAAATTTTTTCTATCAAATTTTTTAGCCCCACAACCCTAACTTAACCGATACAAATCATAGGAGCGCTGGACTGCGATAAAGCTTTAAAATAAATTAATGAGACACGAACTATATGTGTCAGTATAACAAGTCGAAACGTGATTTATATCGTAATTTGTAAAAAGTGCTGTAAATTATACGTAGGAGAGGCAGGTCATCGCCTTGGAGACCGGTTTAGAGAACACCTCTGTTACATAAATAAACAAGCTCTCTGTCCGGTCTCTAAACATTTCAACAGCACTAAGCATGATGGAATTTAAAATATCCTAGTTACTGGAATACTGTATATTAGTAACACACCGGAAAGCCTCTATATTGGGAATGCATTAATAACAAGATTTGGTACGTAGACTGCATACGGGATAAACCAAATTCACAATTTTACGTAGCTGACATGTTTTTTTTCCTGTTTGTTTTTTTTACATTTTTACTTCAAATCACTTCCTTTCCATTCTTCTTTATTTTGTTTCTATCTGGTTTTTGCGCCCACTCCTATTTTTCCTCTCCTTTTTTAGGTAGGATATATGTACATATATATTGTATAAACTTGTATAATTGTTTTCTTGTTATACTGATGAAGGCATGTGCCGAAACGTTTATTTGTGTATCACGTGAAATTATGATTAAAGCTTAACTTATATTGTTACATTGACGCAAATAGTTCGTGTCCAATTAATCACAGAAAAAACTGCTGCAGAGAAAACCTGCTGTTTTTTTTTCTATAGAGGAAGATGAACGATATATGATGCTACTGCTATAACGAAATACAATTTGCGGGTGGGGCATTAGACCATGACTGTTTTCAAATTTAAAATAAAAAAATGCACATTCAGGATTTGTTGCTAAGGGTTGTTTTTATTAGACATCACATTGATCAATTATACTTGATAACATCAATATTACATCAGTATCTTTTTTTGAATCACCCATCACACTCATCCTTACTTCCCGCCGGGAATTATTTTCGTAATTTAAATTAAAGTTTTTAGATTAAAGATGTTTCTTAACAAATTGAACATTTATTGCGCTGCCACCAATGATCATAGGCGTTGCACAAGTTTCGTTCAAATGTAGGTAAGATGTATTTAAATCAGCGTTTCTCAACCTGTGGGTCACGACCACTTTGAGGGGGGGGGGATCGAAGGACACATACCTAGGGGTCGGTCTAAGACCATCGGAAAACACATGTATTGTCATCGACACCGAGTATATTAGTCAAGTTTCAGCTCGATATGATGACGGGAAGTGAATTTTGCTACGAATTCTTGGGGCTTTATTTTTTTTTCATTGTAAAGATCACAAGGTTTATATCCTTCAGAGTTGGTTGGCTGACAATTGAGCCCGCCGGTCCTCTTCGTTGTAGTTCTTAATCCTCATTGGCTCATCCATGCGAGCCATTTAGCATCCCCTCAAAGTGTTTTGCCCATCTCTCGAGTACCCAACATCTTTCTTTTAT